CCAGAGCAGCAACCCCCAAGGAGGGAATGCGCAGGGTGCAGCCAGGGCCGAGCTCCAGCACCACCACCGCCTGCCCCCCACGGACCTGCATCCTGCACACAGCCGACCACCCACCTAGGTGTGCAGGGTGAGGGTGCAAGGCGCACAGGGAGCGCTGGACAGGGGTCGAAAGGGCGGCGATGCCCTCCCCCAAGGAAAATTCCTGCCACTTGGTGCATCGCCGAGCTGCGGGGGCAGGCCTGGCTCTGGGGCATGCGGGGCCAGCTAGCCGCCACGGCCCCAGGCCCAGTGACACTCACCACACGGAGCCATAGGCGCCGGAGCCCACCGGGGACAGGTTCTGGTAGCGCTCGGGCACCTCCCAGATGGTCTTGTTCAGCTCCTGCCGGTAGAACTTGGGCCTTTCCTGAGACATCTTCCAGCTGCGCCGCCTGGGCTTCCAGTGGTCGCTGTTCGCGAGCCAGAGAACAGGAGCCTCCCGCCGTACTCTCGCGAGATGAGCTCCCGAGACGCTCCGCGAACCGAGATTTTACCCAATATGGAACCTGCCCAAGGGAGGGGGGAGAGAAGGGGGCGGGACGGGAGGAGCAGTTCTCGCGAGAAGAGAGCAACAGCTGGACACCAGAGGAAAGAGCTTGGCGTCGGTTACGGGCGGGAAGGCGACCCGGGAAGGATAAGGTAAGCAGGCAACACATGCCGCGTGCGCCCCACCGTGGCCGGCGGGGCAAATGCCTGGTGGAAATTGACGGTGACAGTGTCGGGAAAAGAGCCAAAAGATCTTTGAACCGCGGTTAGTCACCACCAGCAGCAGAACACCTGCGCAACGGAACCCCTAGTTGTCAAGAAATCACTGCATTACAAAGAGAGAGAAAGGTTCCGCCCAGAAAACTGTTGCATTCCCATCTACTCAAGGACATACGGCTTACTCTTAGGAATTCTGATTAAATCTATCCCAAAAGTAATTATCAGCCCTGCCTAATAGACTGACGCTTTGCAACCTAACTCTCCTAGGAGTTTTCAAACTTTAAAAAATATATATATTTTATTGATTTTTACAGAGAGGAGGGGAGAGGGATAGAGAGTTAAAAACATCGATCAGTTGCCTCCTGCACACTCCCTCCTGGGGATGTGCCCGCAACCAAGGTACATGCCCTTGACCAGAATCAACCTGGGACCCTTCAGTCTGCAGGCCGAGGACGCTCTATCTACTGAGCCAAACCGCTTAGGGCAGTTTTCAAACTTTTATGTGCATAAGAATCACCTTGGGAGTTTAAAAATGCAGATCCCCAGACAGGGAGTCTGATTGGATAGGTCCGTGATGGGAACCAAGAATGTGCATTTTTACAATACCGCCCAGCCACTTCTGATTAAGGAAAGTCTCTGGTACCTCCCTTTGAGATGTATTTTTTAGACCACTACCCTGAGGACCCGGCTGGTGTGGCTCAGTGGTTGAGCATGGACCTATGAACCGGGAGGTCACGATTCATTTTCTGGTTGGGGCACATGCCTGGGTTGTGGGCTCGATCCCCAGCAGGGGGCGTGCAGGAGGCAGCTGATCCCTGATTCTCTCTCATCATTCTTTTTTTTTTTTTTAAATATTTCTTTATTGACTTCAGAGAGGAAGGGAGAAGGAGGAGAGATAGAATCAATGATGAGAAAGAATCATTGATTGCTGCACACCCCCCAATGGGGATCGAGCCCACAACCCAGGCATGTGCCCTTGGCGGGAATCGAACCTGGGACCCCCCCAGTCCGCAGGCTGACGCTCTGTCCACTGAGCCAAGCCAGCCAGGGCCTCTCTCATCATTCTTGTTTCTGTCTCTCCCTCTCCTTTCCTCTCTGAAATCAATAAAAATATATTTAACAAAACAAAATAAAACAAAAAACACTTCCCTGAGGGTTTGAAATGGACTCCTGCCCTGAAGAACTTCCACTGAAGAGGACGTTAAGCATTTAATTCATGCCTCTCAGGGTTAGAAGACCAGGGCAGAGAGTGGTCTTAGTAGGCAAGTCAATTGATCTTTCTTAGACCTTAATTCCAGTTAATGCAAAAGAGAACTCATTTCTTACATCCCCACCTAATAGGGTCATTTGTAAAGCTGAACAAGATATTAAATATGAATGGGCAAGGTATTATAATCCCATGCCTACTCCCACTGTTACCAACCTACTCCTATGCTCAAGCTTGTTACAATAAGCAGAAGAATGGACCCTAAAAGAAATAACAAGGTACAAGCCAATTCTCATCACTTCCCATGATTATTCTCTTTTGTGTTATACATCCCTTGGAATGCTTAGATTTTGCCTATCTTGTCCCTGCATCTAACATAGGGCCTAGAACAGGGGTCCTCAAACTTTTTAAACAGGGGGCCAGTTCACTGTCCCTCAGACCGTTGGAGGGCCGGACTATAGTTTAAAAAAAAACTATGAACAAATTCCTATGCACACTGCACATATCTTATTTTGAAGTAAAAAAACAAAACGGGAACAAATACAATATTTGTATTTGCATGTGGCCCGCGGGCCGTAGTTTGAGGACCCCTGGCCTAGAACATAAAAGATATTCCATAAATACTTTGTTGAACAAATTATGACCATTGAACTGCGGTTAGTCACCACCAGCAGCAGAGCACATGCACTACAGGTAATACAGGATCCTCAGTTCTCCTCTAGGAAAAAAATTAGAAAACCTAAAGCCTGATTCATGCAAAGCTTTTTTTTTTTTTTTTTTTAAATTCAATGTGGCTTAGCCTGGATTCTCTTGCCTACAAACACATGGTGCTTGAAAATGTTCCAAGCCAACCTGCAGGTTAGGGAGCTTTCAAAGAAGTAATGAAGGTTGAAGGAGGAAGTGAGAGCAAAAATATGACTGTGAAAAAAAATGAGGGCTTGGAGTGGAGAATCAAGGAGATGAGGGAGGAAACTTGGAAGTAGGAATCCTAAGAAAATCATAAATTTATCCAACAAATTGGGATAATGAGGTGAGAGTGACCAAAAGGGTAAAGATGGAGTGAACGTTACATTCACTCGCTCATTCAGCAAATATGTGTTAAATGCCTACTAGGTGCCAGGCATTTCTGATGAAAGGGTGATCTAAAAGCAAATTTGGTTGTGCCTACATGGAGCTTACAATTAACTTGAGGGCAGTCATTCAATCATTCAACACAAATTTCTTGGGCACTTACTATATCTACCTCACAGTTTTAGGCATTGATGATTCAGGAGTTAATGAAAGATAAAAATCCCTGTCTTTAGAGGGGAGAGACAGTTACAAAAAGGAATGGGAAAAGTGAATACTATGTTAGACATGAATACAGCAATCCAGCAATTGTAAAACTGCAACGGCTGATCAGAAATATAAGGCTGTAGTGAGAAACAGGGGCTGGGACTGAGCTTTGTTAACCTAATAAACATTCAACCCTGTGAAGAATTTTTGTGAGTTTATGTGAGCCAAACTGCCAGCCAATGCGGGGAAGCAGAATCTCAATGGATTGAGATAATGCTCTGGAGAATGGCAGCTTTGCGTCTTACAGTATTTTATACATTGCAATCTAAAGAGGTGACATAAGTGGGTTGTATGAAATCCACTGGTGATAGATTAGGGAGGCTGGAGAAAGCAAAGCAGGGAAACCTCTGGGACTGGATAAAAAGTAAAATGATAGACACATACTTCTTTTACATGGGTGAGTATAGGACAGTTAACAGTCAACAATGAACTCAGTGGCAATGAGGGGAATCTGTGGTCTCTGCGGAGCAGTGCCTGTGCTTTGAGGGGTCCAGAAAAAGGAAAATTACTTTGACATTTAAAAACATATATTTTTTTATTGATTTCAGAGAGGAAGGGAGAGGGAGAGATTGAAACATCAATGAGAGATAGTAATTGATTGGCTGCCTCCTGCACGCCTCCTACTGGGGAGTGAGCCTGAACCCAGGCATGTGCCCCACCCAGGCATATGCCCTTGACCAAACCCAGGCCCCTTCAGTCTGCAGGCCCACGGCTCTATCTTCTGAGCCAAACCGGCTAGGCTACTTTGACATTTTAATATGTCATCATAGATGCCAGAAGACAACAGACAGGCTTAGTTAAGGTGGAGATTGTCAGGGAAGATACCGACCTACGACATGACTACTCACCATAAATTGCTTTTCGTTAAAAACTTTTTATTTCAGACCATCTTTTGTGGCTAATTTAGGTCTCTGAGTTTGCACGGCGGCCAAGCAGGCCTTCCCTGAGCTTGTCAGACTAGCATGTGGCCCCTTTCGCCCACAGCTTCGAAGGAGGAGGTTAAGGCAGGTCAAGGGAGAGAGCAGAGCCGGAGGCCTGGGCAGCAGTGTCCCCCAGTGGGGGGAGCCAGCTTGTGGGGCCCTCTAGCCTCCAGTTCCCTCGGCCTCTTCTGACCTGATGTGGTTGTGGGGAGACAAGTGAGTTCCTGTCTGTGAGGTGCGGGCCGAGGCTTGGCATCAGGTGGGCCCTCCATCAAGAGCAGTGGTCAGGCCCCGGGCGTGGCCCAGTGGCTGAGTATCCATCTATGAACCAGGAGGTCATGGTTCCATTCCCGGTCAGGGCACATGCCGGGGTTGCAGGCTCCATCCCCAGGGTGGGGCGTGCAGGAGGCAGCCGGTCAATGGTTCCCTCTCATCATGGATGTTTCTATCTCTCTCCCTCTTCTTTCCTCTCTGAAAAGAAAGAGTAGTAGTCAAACCAGTGGTCAAACCTGGGTGGCACAGGTGAGGGGCTTCCACGCC